CATTAATCAAGTGACGTATTTAGTTAGAATTAATTCAATGCATAAATATAGCTCATGGTAACTTTTCTAGGGCATATCATGTAAATCAAAATAATAGAAAGACTTCACGAGCTTATTCTTAAAATCAGAGGCACATGGCGAGAAAACAGAAATTACAACTTCAAAAACTCCTTTCATTTAAGCAAGACAAATTTTACTTGTTCATTTACCGTGGAACATCTACATTTCAAAAGTTCAGAATAAAATTCATAGTAGAAATTGAAAATCCTAATACATATTGAATTGAACGAAGATAATTACGTTAATTTTTTACTCTTTCGGAGCAAAAGCAGTCGCATAGTTCCTTGAGAACTAAAAAAAAAAAATCAGTATCTTGTGCATGAATCCGTGCATTTGATTGTGAAAATTAGCTCAATGGTATCATTCAACAAAAGGTTCAAACAATTAAAAAAATTAAGGCGTTTATTTTTTAAAGTAATTTCACCAAACATTGATTCAAAATATCAAAGTACCGATCATGACTAATCAATTGTTGAATATTAATAATTTTAGAAAATATGAAAAAAGTAACATGTATAAAAAATCAAGGCATCTTCAACTATTTAAAAATCAGAATACCTTAATCTCCAATTTCATTGGTCTCCAATGGAGTATTACTGTTAATAGTGTGAAAGCCAAAAAAAAAAAAAGATAATAAATTTATATCTTAGCAGTTTCACGAGCTGATGTCCCAGAAAGCAATATAGAAAGCATAAGACATATCTATGTTAACCTAACATGTGCATTCAATTGGTACCTGGGTTTATATGTGAAATACACACACATAAATCTATAGATAAAATATGCCTCTGTCCATGTCTACTAACAACTGAGATCATACAATCATACTAATTTTTTCCATAAGGTACACTTGTACACTGAAGTTGTACAGAATTAAAATATTGTGCAGTCTAGTTATACTAAGTATCCGCAAGAGAACTTATAAGAAGAAAGCAATCGGAAGCATGAACCTCTTAAGAGTAAAAAGTATCTTGTTTCCTTTTACATAAATTTTCGTATATCTTGTAATTAATATTGCTCACTAACAAATGCTGGTCTATATGCATTCAAATCAAAATAACCAAAGATGTTACATTATCCATACCCCCTGCAATCTCCACTCACATCACCGAAGAAAAGGAAAGAAATAAATATTACAACTTAATTAATGGCCAAGGGAACAGAACAATTCCGATACATTCCATGAACAAAATATTCAGTGTTGTGCAAAGTTTATTACGCCATATGGAGAAGAATTTATTCATCAACCAAAACTTTATTTATGCAACGGAATGAAATTAGAATACAGGCTCAACAAATTCCAGGTTTAAACAACTAAAAAGAAAAACTTTAAGATCACGAGCAGGGGAAAAAACTTGTTATAATCAATACATTAAAAAATATGGGCATTAGCTTGTTTCGCATACATACCAAAAGCATGTGGCAATTGGTGAAGAAAAGCATCGCCTAGCCTTGTTCCTGCCTGCATAAGTTAAATCCAATCAAAATCAACCTAGTGAAACTCAAATGNGTTTAGTGATAATATATGTTAATTTAATGTTCAATCAGTTCAACTTTGTTCTTATTTATTCATTAGGTTTTAAAAGAGTTTATGGTTTTAGGGATTGTGTGAATCTATAGAGTTAGGGATGCATTTCAAATGGGATGAATATATAAAATTTTTGTGGATGTATATAGTATTTAAATTAATGAATTTCATAAATCACAAGGACAATATTGGAATATGACGTGGATGTAAATAGTAATTTTTTTTAAATTTTTAAATTTTATTAGGGATGAACTTTGGGTGGGATGGATATATAAAAAATGTGGATG